CTCCAGCGCCTGTGGTTGATTTGTGCATGGCGCATGCTAACTTGGGTCCAGACTTGCAGAGAAGGCCCACTGCCACCTTCTCTCAGCAGGAGATGCCAAGAAAGTCCAACGTGGCGTATATTTGTTCTCCCGCGCCCGTGACTTGGCAACTAAGGCGACATGCTTCTTCTGCTGAGATCGGTATAACTCTGCGAACTGTGAGCGCAATGTCAACAAAAGTGCGGATCAGGTTTTTCGCTGTTGATAGCCCTATCACAGCACAGGGTCACTGACATGATGTTTGCACAACGCTGCCGCGCAACGATGCTTCATGATGTACGTGCTTGGAAACCTCCTGCTCTTCTCTACACCCCGGCAGCTGCACCGGCAGCTGCCAGCGCAGCTGCTTCAGTCACAGGGATTTGTTGCAACTGGTTCCAGGACCAGGCAGCAAGTCGGGAGAGTCGGGAGGGAGGTGCCTATGACATAACTGCTTGGCTGAGTGGTAACGGTGCGTGGAAAAGTGAGTTCGATTTAGATGCACATATTTGAAGAGAAGGTTGTGTGTAGGTTTTTCTGCTTAAGCGAAGCACAAATCGAAGAGCATCATGAATCTGTTTCTTGGTGATTTACATGCTGGCCTCCGTAGTGCCATCTTCCTTGTTGAGTATCTGCCAAGATTCTTGAGACACATGACGAGGGCATGCGAGTGGCTTAGAGAAGAGAATATTTGTTTCAATACTCATGACAGAGCAGCACATCTGTGTTTGGCTTCGTCTCTGAAGATGCTTGTTGCTGGTGAGAGAGGTTGGCTTGCGACCCCAACCCTTCCGTATGAGTTAGCAATGCAGATGGCAAATCTCATACGGTAAGCGGGTTGGTTTCAGTTAGGAGAGCAGTGGCCCTCACTTCTTGTGCATGTAGCGACAATGGCTCGCAGCTCCGCCCCAATTGGCTACTGCACCTTTCATTCCATGCGCATGTGATGCCACACAGTATTGTTTAACATGTCTTGGCAGCTGCCTGCTATGGGATTTGGCGGTACATCATTGAATCTGCACGTAACGAAGCGCTCCCCTCTTCAGTGTCTGTGGATGGTTCGCTTTCGGTGGCTCTGTGCTGTCTTTGTTGTCAGTTGGCAGCAGGCTGGTCTCGGAAAGGATCTGAAATGTGAGCCCCCATATGTTCAATGCCAGTGAAAAGTAGAACATTCTAGCAAGCAAACCTGTACCCAGGCTAGTCTTGACAGCCTATGGCAGCAGTAGACGACGCCTGCTGCCATGCAGCTGGCATAGGGAAGCTGTGTGAGTTTCTGACAGGTGTTTTTGCATGTGTTCTGGTCACACAAAACTGACGTTCCTGTGTCAGGTTTCTATGCGCTGTTGCAGAACAGACCCGACATCTCGAGTTACAAGCTGCTGATGCAAGCGGCCTTGCTAAGCTTGAGTCTGCGCGGGCATGTGACGGATGACCTTCAACGGGCTTCTGGGCTGCAGCTCAGTTTAGTCATACCTGCAGCCTGCCATGGAGTTGCTATCTTAAATGCAAAGTTGCTTTGAACATTTGATGTCGTAGTCCATCTGAAAGCTTACTTGCCGCCAGGCAGTTGAGGCAGTTCTGGAGAGAATGCTGCACAAGATCGTGCGCCAGTCATGGGCCTTGGTCATGCTCCGCGCATGCTGGACGACATTGCCAGGACCCCTCAACTTGGTCAACGAATCATTGGTGATTTTCGCAACCGAGGCTTGTCTTCGGCTTTCAAGTCACATGTGCTCCATGTTCTGAGTGCTTTACGTCGAGCGCAGCTTCTGCCCGACTATCTGCTTTGTGTTGACACCAGCTTTACGCTGGCTGCGAATCTGTCGGAGCTGGCACAAGTGTGGATTTTTCAGGCACGCAGCCAGACTGAACGGATCCAGGATTGCCTGCAACGTGTGCTTGCCAGGGAGCGGAAGCTAAAGGTCACCTATGCCTTCTGCATGCGCTTGCGGCCTATTTTTCTGGTCCTCATGGACTTTCCCGACCCGCGATCCTTTGGGTTTACGAACGAGCACCTCTCTTCCTGTTACTGTGAGAAGCATTGCTGCTCGATGAAGTTCCTCGTTTTCCAGGGTATATTGTAGACAACATGCTTGCTTTTTCACCACGTGACCTGTTCCTAGGCCGATGGCTGGCAACCATGTCAGGGAATGGGCTGCCAAAGTTGTGGCCTCGCATGTCTCCAATGGCAGAGACAGAATTCACAACCAGAGTCATTTCACAGGAAGTGCCTGTGTGTCCGTTCGCAATTCGTGGTCTGCCTCTTGGCAGTTTCGGTATTGTGCACGGCGATTCGGCCTCCCAGCATGGGTACCTGGAGGACGAGCCAGCACTCCTACAAACGGAGTGTGGTCGAAACCTTATGACTACGGACAGCGTGCATTGGTTGACCTCCCAACGCACCACCAGCCAAGGAACAATGAAGCAGCCTGATTTACAACATGTCGGTACATAATAGATGACCCTTTTGTCTTCATGCGAACAGATATTGGAATCAAGTTCTCACGTCTGCCCGTTTGCAATTTTTTTTCTGGTCGGACACGTGGTTCAAGTTGCCAACTTGTGGGCCTCCTTGGCTATTACATGCGCTTGGGGGAGACACGCTGCAGCAAGCCCAGAGCCAGTGCTTGTCCGAACAATGCGCTACCCGCAGGTAGGTAATCTCGTGCAGTCACGAGGCCTAGTCTCATCGGGATGATTTGAGGTTAGTTGATTCATATTTCCACGTTCACGAATCTTGCAGGAGATATGTGATTTGTATTGAGGCTTTGCCCATGACCTTCGGCGCTGTGCATGGCCCGTACTCAGAGGTCCAGCACTTATGTCGCTACTTGATGTCACGGCGAAAAAGCCCGAAGCTGCAATGGCCGGCTAGTCCACAACAATTTCACAGGATTCTTGGCTTGGTGTTGCTACCAGATTTCTGCGAAAATCTCTGAGATCTTTGCATGACTGGGGGATGCAGTGATCCGATCCTCAGATGATTTTTCCTGAGGTGCACACCGTCTGCTCGAAAGCGGCCGGCTGCTAAAGAGGTTGCCATGGGCCGAGTTATGCTGCCTTGAGGTCACACCTCTTGCGTGTGTTGCTTAGGTGTTTCTTCCAGTGATTTTTGGTGTTGTGTTAATGGTGTGCAGAGACCTGCTCAGGAGAAACCAAAGAGGGTGCGTGGTCTGAATCCCAGTCACTGGCATTTGTGGCGTGGACTGTCAGGACCCAGATTCATGCGTCAGCAGATTGATTACCCGCAGTCAGCTGAGACTGGTAGCCTAGTACGTCTCGACGCCATCAACGCATCTATGCATATTCGCAGCATGATTGCTGTCATTGGGCGAAGCTTCTGTACACAGCACTGTCCAAGCACGGACATTCTGGCTCAAGCAAGACGGCAGCTGTTGCAAATCTGTGATATCAGTGCTGCCGCATGCTCAGCATCTGATGTTCCAGTATCTTCTACCGCACATCTGAAAGCACTGAGGTCATTAGAAGATGGCACTCGCAGCATTGCGTGGAGTTGCGTTGCTGCCTGAGACTGGCGGAGTCAGAAGGTGACATTCGTCCTGGTTGCAGCTAGGCTTGGCGTGGGAAGGTCTGCCAGGCCGTGGCAGCCTGAGAAAGAGCTGCGCAGCTGCGGGAAGCTGTGCAAAAAGCTTACTAGGCTGGCCCGACCTCTTGCACTTCCTGCAGCGAAGCTCCCGGGAGTGTGTGCGCGATCACCTTTGCAGGCAGGCCCTGCCCATGAGTTTTGCTGGCCTGTAGTTTTTGGGCATCTGCAGGTCACGACGCGATCCTACATCACAGTTGCTTGTCCACATCATTCTTCTGGTTAAGGGATGAGGTTCTCTTTCGGTTGGGCTTGCAGTGTATATGGGGGTCAAGTGAGGCCTTTTTCATGCCATCCGGACGTGAAAGGCCATGAGCAGGCCGCCGGAAGGCTTACCCGATCCAAGGAAGTTCCTTCTTACACCGTCCCCGGCTGCCTTGCAACTAATTCTCAAACAAAAGGCGGCTTTAGTGGTTGCATCCTCCGGGTCAGGTCCAGAAGTACTCCAGAGACGACGTTGTGAGTCACCTTGACGAGTGCCTAGCCCGGAAACTATGACGCGGCATTCTTCACAATCCGCATCGGAAAGTAAAGCCCGGAAACTAGGGCATGAGTCTTGACAAATACTACTACTACTACTACTACCACTACTACTTCTCCTCCTACTACTACTACTACTACTCGTTCTTCTCGTGCCACTGCCACTACTACTACTTCTTCTGCTGCTACTACTACTACTACAACTACTACCACTACTACTACTACTACTACTATTATTACTACTACCACGATTTCTTCTACTTCTACTAGTACCACTCTCAGTACTACACGTGCTGCTGCCGTTACGACTCTTACTAGTCCTACTGCTACTGCTGTAGCTAGCTGCTTGCTACCTACTGCCTACTCCATCCCACCTACCAGGTTACTACCTACCACCTACTACCTGCATCTACTACGACTCCTCCTGGTTACCATCAGTGTAGCTCTTGTTTCTACAGCCAGGTTTGTTGCGATTGCTCTGGCTCTTCATTCTGAGAAATAGCTCAGGTACTATGCAACCGCCAAGAGCTTAGCCGGCTTAGCATGTGCTGCAGCGAGCTGGGAGCTATCATAGCAAGGCTATGTGGGGACGATTATCTTTTGTTTGCTTGCACATGGAGGCATGGCGGGTATGACATGCACATTCCGCACGGAGGTAGATTCATGGGGGCTGGTTGGCACAGAAGTCTTGGATGCGGGCTTTAAGTTCGACCTCACGTGCGAACAAGTGTCTATGGTTCGTCAAGCCATCAACAATCCTTTCCTCAGGATCCAAGTTCGATCCTTTCCTCAAGTTTGCAGATTGGTCTGAGGCAACCCTTTGAAACCCCACATCTCTGTGGTCTGGTATTCCTAGGACTCATAATTTCAAAAACTGCCCCTTGCTCAACCAAAGGTGATGAGCACCAACTGGGCCGACTACCTGAACCTGGTCTACAGCGTCCCGTTCTGGGAGGCATTGTCCTTACCGTAATGCCCCGAAATGGCATTCTTATTATGAGTACGCTCCCATGATTGTGTGTGCGAGAGGGAACCATGCATATTGTTCCTTTCATGCATTCGCGATGACAATTACACGTACTTAAATGTGAGTTTCACACTGCTCATAGCCTCCAAGACTGAAGTGCTCGTACACGACAGTTCAAATCCTTCTGCTACTGAAGCTACCGTTTTCCACCGCTAACACCATGGAACTTGTCCCGGCAACTGTTCTCGGCAACAACCTGTGTGTCATTGCCATTGAATTCCCTGCCTCAGTTCTGTTTGGCCACATTCATCATTCTCACTGTCATTGTTACCACCGCTTATGTCGCCTTAGCATTGCATCACCATGGTTCCTGTTGTCAGGTCGTAATTTCCACTATCATTATTATTGCTACTACAATTATTACATATTATTACTAGGATTATTATGATACATAGATACTATTATAGTTCAATATTCTTATCCTTATTCTATTTCGTACTGTTAGTATATATTAATAGAATCTTGTAGTTTGATATTCTTATTCTTCTCTTCTTCTTTAAGCTTCCTCCCCTCAGAGTCCCAGAGTCCCAGCGGAGGCAGAGCTTGAGCCTCCTGGTTGCTCTACTTGCGGATGGCGTTGGGTTTCAGAGGGATCTAACCCCATATTTGGGGTCATAATCTGGGGATATATACTATATTAGTTTCTATTTTCTTCTCCATTGCCCCTAGATAACCTCAATACAAGATGGTAGTTTCCATTTTCTTTTCCATTATCCCTATATCCCCCCCATACACTGCGTTACTTGTGGATGGCGTTTTGGATTGAGTTTCACAGGAAAAATGGGTCAGGTTAGAAGCGTGGGCACGTTTTTCGGCCATTTTAGGAGCTGGAAGCCGTGATTGTGACTGCGAGATGTAGCTTTGGGATTACCAGAATCATACCAAGTCGGCACAAGAGCAGATCTGCACGTGGAAGACGTCTAACCTTTGACGGTTCAGGGAGCCTGGATCAGGATTTCACGCTTGGGGCTTGGATTGTTTGACCCGGACTTTGAGCGCAAAGCTAGCCATTGTGAATACATCACGCAACAGATGCTGATCCGTGGGTTGTGTTATCTTCACATCCCGGCCAAAGGTCCGAAGTGTTTGGATTGTGCTGTGGACGGAAGTCATCCCTGCACTCTCATCCCAGCGGAAAGGTAGTAACCGCACCTCAGTTTCAGCCAGCTCAGCCCGACACAAACCTGAAGCCAAAGCTCCACGTTGCGTTGCAACTGCCGAGGAAGCTGACCTCACTTGTGCAGCCGTACCTTCATGAGCCTGAAGTAGGCGGGTGGGTGTTGATCTGAAGGTTGTCTTTGAAGCATCTGAGAGAGCCAATGGCTTCTGTATCATAAGCATACCCGTCCTCTATGAGCCCTGGAAACAAGAATCCCCACATCGGTGTCATCTAGGTAGTTTGACGCAGGCGAAAAGTTCAAGAACGTCCAGGAGATGTTCCTGGGATCAGAAAGCCTGACTTGTCTTTGTGTGAAAGTTCTGGGCAACCACTGGATGGCAGGCTACTTTCTAAAGCAGACTTCAACATATTGCTTCTGCAGAGCCACTGAGGATGGACGTGTTCTACCAGTGCGAGGACATCGCTTTTGGCATTCCTTGTACCGAAGAATCACTGGAGGTTGAAATTTATCAAACCTTTGCTAGACTTGGATTGATGGTTTTGCTTGGCGGCCAGACTAAATCTACTCCACTATCTATTCCTTTGCAGTGTTCTTTGGCAGAAATTGGTCTTGTTCCTGAGGCTGAGTGTGCAGTAGGACTTGCAGCCAGGAAAGTTTCTGCAGACAGCAGAGCCCCTTCCATAATTAGGACATCTTAATGATTCAAGCAACCTGAAGGCTCGTGAGAATGCTCAGGAATGCTTTCATGTTTGATGGCTGGCCGAGTTGCTGGCTCTCCATCAAAGCAGGGAGAATGTCTTGGTGACTTTCACAGTGAACGAACAGGGTATGACTTGAAACTGAGATGCCATACCCTGGGGTCTGAATCCCGACGGCATTACAAACTATTGTAAGAAAGTACCAGCTAGGATGTCCGTGACCACCTGAATGAGTTGGCGGAGTTGGCAACACGTGCCTCCGGCTTCATGGGAACCGGTTTCGCTGCAGAGGTGCGGGGCAGTGATATAAAACGGAAGCTCAAAAGATTTCTGGTGCGCATTCGTAGCGAGGGTTCTTGCGATGTCAGGATTAGGAATCATGTCCCGTTGAGGGAAATTTGGGCGAACGGAGGGTTTCATCAGCTTTGAAGATCCTACAAACACTGGTAACAAGACTGCGTGGGGACACTTCTTCCATACCCAGATCTAATACAGTCTGCGGATCATCATGTCCGAGTCCGATCCATACCCCTGCGTTCCATACCCTCACGAAGGCTGATGTCATGACATCATTTCGCAGCGTGTTCCATCGGGCATGGATCAACCTTAGCTGAGCACGTTGTGAAGAGTATGCAATGCACGGTTCCACGGGTGATGATAATGTACCTTGTTGGCCAGGAAAAGGTGGAGAACATGGACGAGCACGTGTTTTGGCTGGAATATGCAATTCTAAAAGCAGTTGAGCTGTTCTGCACCATGCGATAGTGATGGAAGTTGCTTAGCCATAACTGGTTCTGCACCTGATAAGCGGAAGGCTTCTTTCAAGCAAGGCCTTCGAAATGCTGAGAGAGTTGATAGTCTTGTATAGGAACAACCCTTTCTGGTCTTCCAGAGGAACAATATCTAGCACTTGGTGCTTTGTCAAGTTTCCTCACTGTTTTGGTTTCGCCTGTTGCTATTATGATTATTCGCTTCATGGATGTATCCGGTGCATGGAGCCAAATGATGGCTATCCAAACAGCATCATTAGGACTATTGCGGTCATCCGAGATTGCTCTTACTCATATACTACTGCTGCTATCCAAATTTTGTGTTCGAGCTGTGGTTCTAGAAGCTCACATATTGTGAATTTTGTACTTGTAACTTGTCGTGCTGTCATTGGTGTTGCAACCTGCATCGCTGGTATGTTCTGTATCATTATTGTTGTCTGTTTCTGCTGCTATGTTTTTTTTGCCAGCTGCCACGGTCGCTATTCTTGATCTCATTCTTGTCTTTGTGGCTGTCGTCGTTGTCGTGATGCCCTAATCCGAGGCCAAGCAGGCCTCTGAATGCTATGACAAGACTCTTGGCCCGGACTTGGAGCGGTCCCGTTTCGGGTTCCCCCGCAAAGCTTATGGAGGGAATGACATTTTTGCGTATATCTCCGGAGCCTCTTGTTACTGAAAGTTGCAAGATAGACCAGATCCGTAGGTCCTACATTCCTACACCCATTCCACTCGCGTGGGATGGGCTGATCAAGCTCGGTGATGGTTCACGCCGTGCTATACCATTGACCCAGGCCAAACCTAGTCCCACCCCTTATTCTAGGCGCTACAGCCATCCAGGACCCAACATCCAGATTGAGTCAGCATTTCAGTCTTTCGTCCCCAGCCCTGCGTCCGAATTTGTTACTTGAAGGCTGAAACCTGCAAGGCTCTGTGCAGAGGATTGATATGAGCCAGAACCTACACTCCTTAAACCGTGTTATGTAAGGGATTATACGGTGGACTGCTATTGGGGATCTCAAGGGATATTAGGAGTTTAGACATGGCTCATATGCGTTACGATCCTGTCTTGACACGCAGTGACAGCCAGCTTGGCAGACTTTCAAACCTCCCAGCCCAGCCAGGAATCTCCTGGGTGGGCTGATGTTCAGATATAACAAAAAAAGCCTAGCACGGCACCAAAGCCCCAGAACTGACAACCCTAAAAGCATCTATGCTCAGCTTGGAACCTAGGATGCTCGAAAAGCATCCGGACTTCAAGCCGAAGATCGAGCAAACAATTGGTCACGGCCTGGCCATCCTGCGTCGGAGCCCCAGAATCCTAGTTGTAACAGGTGGATAGTTCCCAAAATTAGGGGTACTTTTTTGGTCGTCCCAATAAAGTGATCGTAGTATATTGGGGTCTATAGTGGGGTTCCTGTATTTTGGGAAACTACCAGGTTGGCTTTTAATTCAGGGTTTCAGGTTTCTCTCGGCTTCGACCTCTTGCTTGGCTGCAGGGATGCAAGGCGGAAGGCTGTGGGAAGCAGCAAGGAAATGTATGTTGAGGGCCTTAAGCCGATGACCTCCGACAGCCATAAGTAGACTATGCTGAAGCCCCCTTCTAGGTTGGCCTTTGGGAAATGTTCAGGGTTCCCAGGCTTGTGTCCCCTCCTCCGTCGCATGACAGGCCAGAAGCACAAGTTCAAGTTTGGCAGCATGCACCGCTACTTCTACTGAGTGCGAGGCAGGGCTCGACAACCAGAACGCATGAGAGACGCCCAGTACGGTTGCTACCATTCTACTGCTGCACGAAGTACTGTCGCTATGTAAATTAGAGTACATGAATAGAGAGCACTTGACAGGATTTTGGGGTTATGTGTTCTGGATGCTTTTTTAAGAACTGTTGGAGGCAGTCTCAGTGCTGATGGCAGCACCTTGCGAAAGCGTTCCTTCTGCCCTAAGTCAGGAGTGTTTTGAGCTGCATGTGGTGCTGCAAAGCGCCACACATCAGGATGATTTGTTCAGGCATCCTGTCGCTTGGATCGTATTCAGCCGCTTGGAAAAAGATGCTATGCTCACTTGCATCAGCTGTCCCAGGACCAAGTCAAATATCACTGGGAGAAGAAGTGCGTAGATTTCTATGACCGGGCCACTTCAGGCGGATCCCCATACTTTTTTTTCTTTGTTGAGTCGAGTTCGGCAAACGCATCAATAGTCAGTTGGTCGTGGGAAGAATCAAATTCTCACATGTTTGTTGATAATAAGATTCGGATGATCGTGATGATGCTCGGCCTCCTCACTGTTGTCATCGCCATACTTGTTATTGTTGGTGTACTATTTTCAGTTGTCACCTCAATATCTCAGCCTTCTGCCTACCACACAGCATGCAAAAGGCTCTAACTAAAGCGTGATGTATCGCCGCAGAACAGTTCTAAAATTGAAGCAATCTGGAGCCAAGGCACTCGCAGGGTCTCTCCAGGACCCACTTCAAAGAGGCTCGATGGAGTTAGGACTGGGGGTGTTATTCTGTGTTGAGGGTTGGGTCAGGGTGTAAGAATGCTTGGTTTGGATAAGTTTAGCTTCACCGTTGCTCGCAAGGTGTTTGGCTTGCAAGTTTGCCAGCTCTCTATAGCTTTTATGCTATTTGCACGTAGGAGGGTTCAGATTGACTGCATCTTATGGACCGTGCATATTGCAATATCTCCCGTGTTGATTTGTCATATTCTTCTGCGGTGATCTGGATACGTTGGTCCCTTGGACGAGGCTGCCGATTACAGTAGACCAGCAACCCCAAATAGTTCTCAGGTATGCCCCATCCAAGTTGCAAACGGAGGACAAGCATTCTAGGTCCCTAGATGGATGGTTCCTTCAACTTCGTAGATGCAATGGGGATCAAAGCCGTGGTATTGACGTGGAACCTATGGAAGAGTGTGGAACAGTGAAGGAAATCCATGACTCTCCTCACAAGCACGTGGTCACAGCAATCCAAGCGCTATAACCACACCATTCTGCCCACCCTTCCGGCCATGTAGCGTTGAGTCCAGCGTTTAAGGGTAGGATCAAGTTCAGCAACTCCACACTTGAAGCACGTCCTTGACCTCCAGACACGTGGTCAAAGAAAGTATCTCAAGTCAAATCCCTTCCTGCAATAGGGACACGTTTGGGCGTCAAGCATTATTGGATCGCTTGGATCACATGAGTGTCCCCAAATTAGATGACTGATGGCATCCTCGTTCCCCGCAGGCTTCGGGCCGACGAAACCGGTCAAGGCCTGGTGCGGGTGTAAGGCTCAAAACCCATCAGGCCCATGACTGTGGGTTGTTGATCTGATAGTAATAACTAAGAGATACAGAGGCACAATCTTTCTCAGATATGGGCTTCCTATATATTCCCCAAGTAAGACCGTCTTCACACGGGGTTTCAAATCAAAGAAGATTCCATTACGAACCCCACACGAACTCGAACTCGAATTCGAACTCGAACCCCATCCCCCGACAAAAAAATCAACTATAAATTGAATTCCAACTCTTCGTTATACGTTCTGAATTCGAATCAGATCCTTTTCGTCGCCTCT